CACACAAGGCAGCATCCAAAGGCTTCTCTATACCTTGGTACCCACCCACAAGCACCAATGTCCAAGAGCTGTATTCTCATCCTCAGCCTCACCGAGACCATATCCCACCTTGACTCTGCTGAGGATTTGACACTAAACTCCACTCCACTCCACCCTCTTTCCAGACCACTCCTAAAACTGCTCATAGAATACTCTCTCTCTTCTTCAGCAAGTTCAAGTTCAGTCTCCCACAAAGCCCCCCCCCCCAACATCCCTGTCCTGGACCAGTTAGCACAGCTGAATTCTTATATCTGTGGGTGCTCATTGTCTCTCCTGCCTGTCTAGGAGAATTACATCTGTGCCAAGTGTAGACTAAGTTAAACCATGACAGTAGACAACTGAAAATACCAAAAAACACGTGGCTCCTTTACTTCTGTAGTTGTGTGTGTGTGTGTGTGTGTGTGTGTGTGTGTGTGTGCCTCTGTGTCTCTGTGTATGTCTGTGTATCTTTTTGTGTTTATCTCTTTATATGTGTTTGTGTGTGTGTGTGTGTATCTGTGCATGTCTGTGTGCATATCTCTCTGTGTATGTATTTATCCATTTCAGTCTTTGTGTATGTTTGTGTATGTGCATGTCTGTGTGTCTCTGTGCATGTTCATATTTCTGTATGTGTGTGCACATGAGTGTGTAGCTGCATGGGTCTGTATCTGTGTGTGTGTACACACAAGTGCATTCAAGAGAGAGATACTGGCTAGCTAAGTGCTCAATCACTGTGCTACATTTTTTTTAAACACAGAATCTTACTGTATTGCCCGGGATGGCCTTGAACTCACTCAGTGCCTCAGACTTTTGATCCTACAGCCTCAGCCTCCCAGGTAGCTGGTATTTTAGGCCAGTGCCTCCACCCCAGCTTGAAATCTCTTCTTATGGAAGAGAGAAAATCAGAGATTTGGGAGAAGAAAAGAAGGGACAAGAGCCAACAAGAAGTCTGAGAGAGTGGAGAGGAAGTGTGCTGCGTGTATGAGAGAGAGGCAGATGGGGAGAGGGTAGGGGCACAAAAATGGATGGAAAAAGAAGAAGAAAATTCAGAAACCACTCTCAGACAGAGAATTGTTTTAATTTAAGCTTTGCCACCTCACTTGGATAGTCTTTGAGGCTTCCAAAAAAAAAAAAAAAAGAATCCTGTTATTTGCAGACATTGGCGATGCAATGGCCACAGAGCAGGCCAGCTTTAGGCTCCATGCTATCACCACAGCTTAGAACTTTAACATGTGGTGTGCTGGCTTAATGTTCTAGTTTAACTCAAAAGGCCCACCTCTGAGTCTTTCCCTCAGCCCTAAAGACTTAGCCATCCAGCTGCCACCCAGGCCCTCAGCTAAGGAAGAAGGGGACAGCAACCTCCTATGCCCATCTCCACACTCCTCCAGCCAGAGCTGGTGGAGCCCCACATTCCAGCCCCAGGGTCCCAACCCTCTCCCACCTCTCCCTGAGCCTGACAAGCCACTCTAATGGATTGACCGTGGCCTTTGCTGGAGGGGCTAAATATAAAACTTTGCTGTGTTCCTCTTGTCAAAGTTAAAAGCTTTTCATGTCTGTGTTAATGTTTTTTTCTGTCTGCTGGCTCCAGTGACAGATGCGGCATCTCGTGCTGAGTAACTGGAGAGTGAGTGGCTGGCAGGGACTGGGGAGGTAGAGGCGATTTATCTCTGAGAGTTTAAGCAGGATGACATGGCTGGGAAGAGAAGGGGGGCGAGACTGTCACCTGATTACTGATTCCAAGATCTCTCCTCTGTGAGGGAGAAGGAGGGAGCAAGGATGAAGGGTACAAAAAGCAAATCAATAAACAGGTTAGCGTCCGCGTCATTATTAACTCTCGGCCTGTCAGCACCCCATTGAAGCGATCGCTCGAGGCGGCCTCGGATTTAATGGTCAGTGCAATAGATTTACTGTAAATGTTATCAGAGGCAGGGGCGGGGGCAGAGGGCGAGAGCAGCCTTCATTGACAAATCATTGCATTGCGCCTCAGTGTGTGAAGCCATTTTGGAGTATGCATAAATAACCCAGGGCATGGCCCTGGGTGGCATTTCCTCTTTCAGATGCTGCAACCTTCCTTTCCCTGTGTCCTCCACTTCTGAAAGCTTCTAGCAACCAGGTTCCCCTAAAATCTTCCCAAACACTTTCTGATTTAGACTTCTATCACATTTGAAAAAGTCAGGCAGCAGGTGTACATAAAGAGCAAACACCGAGTCTGAGAGGCAACTAGGAATCAAGGTCTCACAGAGAAGGTCAGAGGTTAGCCCACTAGCAAATGAGAAGCAACCCCTGAACTTAGAACCTATGCAGCAGACATACATTCTGGATGCCACGCCTACCCACTCTCCAGTGCTTGCTGACAGCAAATGCCCGTAGGAAGACTTCTTCGTCCAGTTTTCAGAATGTGAGCTACTGTCATACTCTACGGCACAGCAAGAATCCAGGAGAAAGAAGAGCCAGAGATCACTGGAAGAATCGGTTGTTTTCAAGGGCAGGGCTGCTGTGTACAGTTGGGCAGGCTGTATATCAGGCAAGCCTCAGAGTTACGGTTCACATTGTGACTTGTGTGGTTGGGTCTATCTGGATTTACAAAGCATTGAACAGTTTGTAGGTATATTCGGCCATCTCAACAAGAGGTCGGTCAAGGTGGGCAGTAGAAGAAGCAGCCAACCATACAAGTGAGATCTGAAAATCTTTGCAGAGAATTCTGACCAGACTCAGAAGGAGCTGTCAAGTAGCTAGCCTTAAATCAGTTGTCTAGAGAGTTGAGAAGGGTTTTTAGAGTCCAGTAGGGACTTGGGCCCCTGAGAACTATTTCTCCTGGCATTCTGAAGAGCAAAGTCCAACAGGAATGTCAGGGGATGCAGATTCTGTCTTAGCTACAATGTCTGCCTGTCTGTCTGATGGTTTGTTTCGTTTTATTTTTTCAAGCTAAGCTAATGGTCTAACAAATGAGTTTTGTTCCACTGATGGGGATGAAAAGCTTAGATTCAAAATAAAATATCCTACCTTCTTCCCTAGCACTGAGATGGTTCTTGGGGTCAGAAGCAGAGCTCTTATCACCTGAACTCTAGAAAATAACACAAGGAGGTGGAGCCAAGAAAAGGACACATTCAAGATCCTTTCCCATTACTGTAAGCAGGGAGCAGATGAGGTGAGTCCTAACTAGAACTGGCAAATGGAATATCTAAGATGATAGCTTGAAAAGAGGTCCTGTAACTGGGAGGTGAAACCCAAAAGCAAAAGTGAGAGGGGGAAAGCCAGCTGCCAATGGCACATTTTTCAGTAAGGTACTACAGTGGGCAGGTAGGGTGCAAGCCTGTTGATGACTCACAGTCACCCTTCAAAGGGACAGAGGAAGACTCGCCCTGGGAATTATTCTCATACATGCTTCAGAGGGACACTAACCCAGCGATTGTGGGAGCAGAGCAGGTCATGAAAAGGGACCCGAGGCTCAAGAGACAACAGGAGCTGTCTACAGCTGCAGGTGGACCAGATACCCCATGAGCATCTAAGGTGACACACTGGCAGCATCTTACAAGAGCTGACCTCAGCACTGCCAGACCTGCCTATCACATGCCTGGTTCCTCCACTGAAGAACCACGATTCTGGGGAACCAACTTCCATCACCTCTGGCAGGAGCCAGCTATTCTCCCGCACGACTTTCAAGCCAAGACAATGCTGAGAAGGGTCCTTGCTCCAGGATGAGGAGCAAGGTACATGCATGCACCCATACATGGGTGTCATATGTGTATTGTGAACATTCAGTTGTGCATGCATGTGTGCACATGAGTGTCTGAACAAGTGTGCATGTACAAATGGTAACACATGCATGTACACCTACATACATATGTGCACATGCTTACACACATACAGAGAAAAGCCAGCAGACTTTTTAGTCCACTGTCTTGCATTCCATTCTCTCCCAGTCAGCACTCTACTTGTTATATGACTTCTGTCTCTGTCTGGAAACTCATAGCCTTCCTTTCCCAGCTGTCAGAAAGAGACTTTTCCAGCCTTTCCTAAGCTACAGGCTCTGAGAGTTGTGGGGAAGTCATCCCAAGATCCTACAAGAAGATGACCCATGGGGGACCCCCGAGAGGCCTTTCTTCAGGATGTTTTTGCAGACTCAGCACAAAGAGGCCCTTGGTTAGCAACCTATACCCTTCCATAGTTCCTCTATAGAGCCCAGCTCTTCAGGACAGAAAGAGGGCAACAGCACCAGGACTCTCCACTGGGGAAGATGGGGACAGTGACAATGGAGAAGAGGATACCAGTGACAGAGCATACCTTGAAGAGGACAGTGTCCAGAGAGTGCCACTTAATCACAGAAGGGGGCCAGCTCAGAGCTGGAAGGGACATGAGAAAGCTGGACATATGGGTAATTGATAAAATGATCATCAAACCCAAAGTCTTGGTGGCTATGGACACAAACACTGTCTTCCCCAGGGTCAGTGAAGTGGATTGGTGTGGCAGAAGTGTCAGGCAAGGTGACCTCCCCCAGCTGCCACTGAGCTCCTGGACCCATAACCCTCACCAGCCACCTAGCCTGCTTGGAGTGGTGGCTGAGCCAGGCCATCCATGGGGGATGCGCCAAACAATTACTTTCCTTATTGAATATCTGATTAATTATTCAGGAGCTGAATCAATTATTCATATCTCATTTAAGAAAGGGGGGAAAAGCCACTGCCCCTTGACAGAAGCTTCTCAGTGCTCCCAAGGCCCTGGGGATGGAGTCATCAGCGGGAGAAATTGTCACAGCAGGAATGCAGCACTGCCGCCATGGCTACAGACACCACAGCACTTCTGACAACAGTCATTTGTGCATGCGCACACCTGGACATCTCACACACACACACACACACACACACACACACACACACACACACAACACACACACACACACACACACACACACGAGCAAACAGGCACTAGGAACCAGTGAGGCCTGATGCAGCAACAGAGAACAGAGACGATTGTGTGATTACCCAGATATGGAAAAGAGGAGAAGAACGCAGTCACACACAGGAAGAGCCAATTCTTTTTGTGAGCGACCATCCCAGGAAGTGATGATGCTTGAGTTGGTGGTGGGAAGGCATTCTCAGCAGTGGGGGCTCCAGAAGCAAAGGTGCAGAAGTGTGGAAATGCTCCGATGTGCCAGGCCAGGCCCTGGGATGTGAAGGAACACAGCAGTGAGCCAAGACAGCACAGCCTGGAGCTTTGAGCTTAGCTGACAGAGAGCCAATGGAAGTGGAGGAATGAACAGGGACACCCTGGCTGAACCAGGAATCATGCACTCGGGAGGGTCTGGAGCCGCACTGGCTCTCCGGAGGCAAGGAGTGCTCTTCAAGACACCAGTTTACAAGCCCCATCCTGAGTGGTACAGGGTGCTCCTAGGGACCATGCCAAGCGCGCTCAAACACTGAGGCTTTGTTAACTAACACCCCCATTACTCGCTCAAGTAATGCTCAAGTGAATGAGAATCAAGGTAACCCTGAAGAATCTCAGACTTCCGGTGGGACTTAAAGATCACTTTTCAATAGATGAAGAAATCCAGGCCCAGAGAGGAAGGTGGCCAATCCTTGATCATCAAGAATCAAAACTCAAGCCTGTAGCCTATGACTTAGCAGGGCAATGCAAGCTGGGAAGTGCAATGGGTCCCTAGCCTCCTCCATCCAGGTCCTCCACGAGCTCTAGGAGAGGAGGTGGGATGAAGGGAACTTCCCCAAGTACATTGTAGGAAGGTCTCAGCAGGGGACTAGCACTGGTATTTCTGAAGGTACTCCTCCTTTTTGACTCCTGTGTCTTCTCTCTCTCTCTCTCTCTCTCTCTCTCTCTCTCTCTCTCTGTGTGGTTGTGTGTGTGTGTGTCTGTCTGTCTCTCATTTCCCCCACTCCCTTTCTTCTTTCTCCCTCTTCTCCATCCCAAGACATACCCATGGCAGGGACCCAGTGCCTCCCTCCTCTCAGCCCCTCAGCCTGACCAGACCCCAGCTTCTCCCCCACCCACTAATCAAATCTGCAACCTGATTCAATTACAGCCAGCAACAAACGCAGACGTGTAACCTTGTTAATATCACGTTTATTAGAGGGAGGGGAAGAGAAAATTAAGATAGACTTCGTGTTGCTGCTAATTAGAAAAATTGAGACTTTACATCTGCGTAGCACTGAGCAACATGTGGTGGTAACAGATGTGGCTCATTCCACAGCTGCATGGGGTGGGCGTGGGGGGAGGGGTGTGTGGAAAACATCCCCAAGCCAGCCTCCTTCCTGAGCTCCAGTATGCTCCATGCAAGTCTGATGCTGCCACCATCACCCCTCTCACCCCCACCCCAGTCATGGGAAGTCAGGACCCTGAAGGGAAGATGGAACATTGGAAAGCTCGGCCCTGGGATCAGACAGACTGGAGCTTAGATCCCAGGACTACCCTACAGTTACTCCATGGGGGCCATGGAGGAGGGTGCATGCAGGTCAGGTGCTGGGGAGGAGATGCCAGACTAGAAATAGAATTAAATTAGAATTAGAATTAGAAGATGAGAAAGAAGAAAAATATTCACATGTATACACACACACACACACACACACACACACACACACACACACACACACACACATAAATATGAGATCCACTTAAGTTTGGATTAAAGATAAATGGCCCAACATCAGGACATGCTGGAGCTGGGAGAGGATCCTGGGCTCCTTTGGGCTTCATGGGCACCAGCCATGGGTAGGACAGGTAGAGGACTCTACAACCCACCCTTCCCTGTGTTGGTCCTAGAGGTGCAGTTCCTCAGCCCAGAGCTCAGCCCTTCCACTCACCCAGTCAGAACCAATCAGAAAGGCCTCTGATGATGCTCACACTGCAGCCAGCGTAAGCTCTCTTATGGGCCCCCTTATGGGCCCCATAAAGGTAGCTGGAAGCACATGACCCCATGAGACTTAGAACTCACCACTCTATCCCCAAGGGGCTCATGAAAGCAAAACAACACTCCACTATATGTGGGCAATTCAACACCATTGGAACTCTAAGGGCAGCACAGGGGCTGGACTAACCTCCTACTAGCAGGGGTTTAAGGACCTTTGCCTCTGGCCAACTGTCAGGTAGGACCAGAAGAGGCAGAGCTGTGACAGGACAAGGAGTCCCAGGTGAGATCCCAGCAGATGTGTCTATAAGGAGAGGCAGCATGGCACAATCCCACAGATGGAACCAAGTCACAGGCTACCCAGCGCAGTCCTCCCAAGCTCCAGAAAGTGCAGCCTCCCACAAGTAATGCTTGCAGAGGTTTATTTATCATGCCCTGCTGCCCACCCATCCCAAGAGGCTAGCCTGGCTTCATTCATCAATATTATGTACAAACTCTGTCCTATGTACTTGGCAAATGTCCACTCATTTATTCCCCCAGCTGTACTAGTGGCTGTCACCTGCCCACCCCACCCCTCCCCAGATCATTTCTCTGACCTTTTCTGTCACCTGCCAGGAAGGAAGGTACACCCTTGATTCCCTGGCCCCAGCTGTGCCTGGGTTCTGAGAGCAGGAAGCACCTGCTGATGAGGCCTCCTGACATTACCCCAGCTGTGGCTATATCCTTCGTGGCTACCAGATCCAAGTAAGGACAAGGGACTCCAAGACCCCAATTCTCAGATGCCTCTAGTAGGAAGCAGCTTCCCATCCTCCAGTCCTGCCTCCACCCCCTTCATGTTTGGAGCCCAGGTGTGCCTCAGTCCCTTTCTGTTCATTTCAGTCCTGCCCTGTCCATGTGAATAATCCCTCTGATGACTTTGCACAGCAATCGTTTTGATTGTGCTTTTTATTTCCCGCCAGGATTCTGGTTGATCTAAGAACCCTATGACTTAGGTTGCACTTAGGCCATTGTAAGAATGAGGAGACTGAGACACAAAGGATTAATAATTCACCCAAGAGTACACCAAGAGATCCATCCTGGTCACCTAAGACCCAATGACTCCCTTCAACACTCCCTTGAGATCCTGCACACACCAACCCTGCTCCTGTCTTGCCTTGATCCCTCTCTCATCCTGCTGTCATGCTCAGATTCCAAATGTCATGTCAGATTCAAGCCTCATCTGACACTGAATACATGAGATGACAGTCACTATAGCAGTACAGGCTTAGAGGACAGGACTCCACTGTCTCACAAATTGAGAACTGTGCAGATCTATACCCCAAAAGGCTCAGATCAAGGATGACCAGGATCAAGTCCAAGTCTGTCCACTGGGAGTTCTGGGAAATCTATGGCCAGATAACATAAACCTTGCACATCACTTTGAACCAGTGGTTCACACCATGGCCATTCTGCTTCCTAGAGGTATTTGGCAAGGTCAAGAGATGTGTTTTATGATCAGAGCTGGAATGGGGTACTAGTGGGCGTCTCCTGGTGAGTAGAGGCCAGCAAAGCTGCTAAATATCCAACAGTGCCAAGACTGAAACACAGTCTTCCTCCATAAAGAACCACAGAATCTCACGACTCATGGAGGACCTCAGGAGCCCTGCAGTTTTCCTGCAGTGCCGTGGCTGGTGACCTGTAGAACTTTGCAGAAAGTTTATTCATGCACACCCATGTCCTCTGAAAGGGGGTGCGATTTTGGAAGCAGCTCCTGGTCACTGGTATTTATTCTGATGTGCTCCTTGGAGATCAGGCGAGATCAGGTCCATTGGCTAAAAGAATCTGTATGTGAAAGTAAAAGTTCATAAAGTGGCTCTGGAATTGCCTGGATAGGACAGGATCATCCCTGGCTGGGTCTATAGACATGAGGTAGACCAGAAGGATGGGGACTTAACTGATCAAAGCCATTCCCCTTCAGCCAAGGGGAGAATGAGCCAAAGGCCAGCCCCTGACCAACATGTTCAAGAGAAACAAAAGGCAGATCCACAATACATAGTCAGGAGTGAGGCCAGAATATAAAGGACAGGTGAAGCTTTGGAGGTCATGGGCTTTCACTGGCTTTGAATAATGGCATCAGAGTAGCCATTCTGGGAACGGTAAAAACCTGGAACCAAAGTCTACAATGCAAAGGGGGAAGGAATCCTTAACAAAGAAATTACTTGCAGAGGCATTCAGAGTCAAGAAAACAAATACCAGCATGAAAAACATGCCAAAAGTACCCCAAAGAGGAAGTAATGACCATGTTCAGGGATTAATGGAGGGCTGGGAAAGAATTGGCCAGAAAGGTATCAGGATCTACAGAGACAATGCCAGCTAGAGATGGGAAGGACTAAAGAAGAAAGACTCCATCCTCTATCTCCTTCACTCTCTGGTCATCAGCCAATGCCTCCTAGTAACCAAAGAGAAGGCCCAGGGTGGGAGTCAGAAAGATGGAAAAGCAAACTGCTCACCTGTCCTCTTTGATCAAGAGGTGGGTACTGGCCCTAGAAGAGGCTCATGAGGCCTGTTTTCCTATGACTGTTAATTCCCACTAGAAAGAATAAAGAATGGGGGGGGTCCATTCATTTCCTTGATGACACTCTCACTGTAGTCACACCCAGGCACACTGCTGTCACACACGGACACAGAAGGATTCAATGAAGGGCCATCAGCCAAAACACTCTCATGCTGCCCACCACCCTCCCACTGATGGCTTTGTAATGGGTCACCTGGACACCTTAAATCACTCTAATGAACCATGAGAACCCCCTGTATGGGGTGTTGGCAGGAGACAATACCATCCCTGTGGCCAGAGGGGAGACCTTTTAATTTCTTTCCCCCGGGAACTACTCAATAAATGCTTTTAGCATCTTTTTTAAATAAAAAAAAAGGAGTGAAATATAAGGGCATATTAGCATTACTCCCATTTCAATTAATCCAAATGATCATGTTAAAAGCTATTAATAAACCAGCAGGAGCGGAGGTCACTGGTAGAGTCTATCAGACAGGAGCAGCAGTCCTTAGTGAAGTCTTAGACCATTGCCGAGGCCTCTCCTCCTTTTCGCTCTCACATCTTGCCTTCGAAGCCTCTGCTCTGGACCACCCAGAAACATCTGCTAAGATCTGAGAAAAGAAAAAGGCTCAAACCCAGGAAGAAAAGAGACCCTGGCTAGCTTGGAGTGTTTAAAGGAATGAGTAGGTTCTATGACCTTTCGTAAGAACAAATGGCCTTGTGGACCCAGCCTATCCAACATGGGTATCCGCACATAGTCTGGGCTGGAAATGCCTC